TAGAGTGCTGTATGAATGTGTGTAGTAGAGTGCTGTATGAATGTGTGAATGAGGACACAGATTGTGTTGTAAAGAGCTTTGAGTGTCTTGATAAGATAGAAACATTCTAGATAAGTCCAGTCCATTTACCATTGTTTCCTGAAACCTTGGAAGTAAAGTAAGGTGAACCAGGACCCTTCCTGCAGAGGTCAAAGGTCACCTCTTGTTTCCTTAGATTCAAGACCAAACGTTCTTTAACCTCAGATTTATTGATGTAAACATGAACCAGGCAGTGTTTGTTTGTTTGTTTATTTGGTGAAGCCATACGAGTTTACATGAACGTTTACAATGCTGCTGATGATTCTGTGTTTTAGTGTAAAAATCAAACCTCAGTTTTTAAACAGAACTGAACAGAAAGATAAAAAGTGTCAAAACAAGTAGAAATGCCTCAAAACTGTTTACATATGTTTGTCTTTTTAAAGTTTGCTTTTATTGTTGAAGCAGCTGAATGTGACGCCATGACGACAACGTTAATTTTTGTCATTCGTGTTGCAGAAACAAGCCATAAATTTATAAAACTGAAAGGAGAAATGGTTTCCATGACAACTTTGTCTTTTTAACAGTTAAATGGTTTTCCAGTCATGCAGATGACAGGAATCAGTAAGATTTAACAAAATAAAAGCACATCTCTGGGTTTTTGGACAGCGCTCACGAGTTTCACTGGGTATCATTAGAAACAAATTTTATTTTTATATTAAAACATTTAATGATGTGTTTTGTAGAAAATCTCCAGATGAGAAAATTGTATTAGATTTGTTTAAAACCTGCTGTTTGTCTGTTTTTATACGTTTGTTTCAGTTCAGGATTATTTGTCTGAACGTAGTTCTCAGAAACAAGATGGCCGACGCTCACAGACAGCAGCTGTTCAACAGAAAAACTTTTTGTATTTGGACACAATAAAAACCATCGGATCATTTTATCTGGACTCTGTTTCTTTATTGTGGTTCTGTAGACATGGGTCACTTTAGGGTCCCACCTGGTTCCTGTTCCACCAAAATAAGTGAATAATTGTTTAAATGTTGTGCGTTAAAGAGGTAGTTAAGATGATTTAATGTGAGATGCTGGGTTTATTCCAGTATAAGCTGGACTCCAGGACCTCCCCTGGTCTCTGATCCAAGGCTAAGAGACAAAGTCCCTTCCGACTGTCTGCTAGATGTGAAGGCAGCACACAGCGACCCATCAGCTGGTCCCACCACAGCCACAGAGACCTCCCGCAGCTAGAAGATCCAGTCTACAAAGAATGAGGAACAGTGTCCTCCACGGAGGAGGAGGCTGGAAGCTAAGATCCAGTCAATTTGCTCCTCAATCTCCTTCCTGAGGGGAGCGGGGCAAAAAGTGTGTGTGCTGGGTGAGTGTGGTCCTTCATGATGCAGGTGGCTCTCTTCCTGCATCTGGAGATGTAGATGTCTGTGATGGTGGGGAGACTGACTCCAACATCTTCTGTGCAGCCTTCACCACTCTCTGCAAAGCTTTTCTTTCTGCAGCTGTGCAGCCTCCATGCCACACGTTGATGCTGGAGCACAGGATGCTCTCCACTGCACACCTGTAGAAGGTGAGGACTGAGCTTCCAGACCAGCTCGTCTCAGCCGTCTGAGGAAGTAGAGTCTCTGATGAGCTTTCTTCATCAGGCTGGTGGTGTTGTTGCTCCAGCTGAGGTTGTTGTTCAGGTGCACACCCAAGTACTTGTAGCTGGAGACCACTTCCACCACAGATCCTCCTATGTTCGGGGGGAAGGTGTGTGTTTGTTCCACCTGAAGTCCATGACCATCTTCTTTGTCTTCTTCACATTGATGTGAAGGTTGTTCTTCCTGCACCAGTTTTCCAGGTGTTCCACCTCCTGCCTGTAGCTGGACTCATCATTGTTTGTGATGCATCCCACCACCGCTGTATCATCTGCAAACTTTACAATGACAGCCTGGATGGGAAGCTGCACAATCATACGTGAGCAGAGTGAACAGGAGGGGGCTCAACACACATCCCTGAGGGGTGCCAGTGCTGAGGGTTATGGTGGAGGAGGAGAAGTTGTGGATCTTCACTGACTACGGTCTGTTTGTTAAGAAGTCCAGGACCCAGTTGCAAATGCCGAGGGGCTTAGTCCTAGTATGAGTAGTTTGTCCATCAGGGTTTGGGGGATCATGGTGTTGAAGGCAGATGTGAAATCCACAAAGAGCATACAGACGTAGGAGTCCTTCTGCTCCAGATGGGTGAGAGCAGTGTGGACCACAAAGGAGATGGCATCTTCTGTTGATCGGTTCTCACAGTATGCATACTGATGAGGGTCCTCGTTGATGGTGATGGTTGTTTTGATGTGGGTCATGACCAGTTTTTCAAAGAATTTAGTGACTATAGGGGGGAGGGCCACTGGTCGACAGTCATTCAGACCAGTCACTGTACAGTTCTTTGGGAATGGGATGATGGTGGTGGTCTTCAGGCAGATGGGAACTGTTGCCAGGGTGAGTGAGGAGTTAAAGATGCCTGCCAGTACCTCTCAGAGC